AAGACCATCAAAAGTGATTGAAGTCAATAGGGGATTCGACACTGGAGGTAAAGAGGGAAGTGTCATAACTGGAGGGTGCAACTTGTCTGGAGATCGCTGGTCCGTGTGCGTCTCTTTCAGTGACTCAGAACGTGCGTGTTAGGAGGGTCGATCTTGTTCTGTCTGTCGATCCTTATCACAATGCGATCACAATGTAGATGGGGAGGAGCAGCATATCAATAATAGTCCAGCGAAGGGTAGGGCCGATATCGATGTTCTCCATATCGATCAGTTGTTGGATAAGGATAGTATCTCATGTGTTGGTATCAGTGAGATGGAGATTGATGTCGATCCCAATCGACATTTCTATTGTAACCAAAGTGTTGAGGTTACTGTCCATAGGGATAACGCTGTGAATCTGATGATTGTGATCAATCGAGGTGACAATGTCGATCTGTAGAGAGGCGACGCTCTGATTCGGAGAAATCTCCCTGTTTCGAAGTCGAAGTGTGTTCCTGAGACGATCTATCTTGAGGAGAGTGATCTGAGTGTCGACTCTTAGAGAGTTGACCTGTAGAAAGTAGATCCTTATCTGATTGATCTCGAGATCTACGACTGGAGGGTGTGCGTTCCTTGGAATGTCGACCCTTAGAATGTCGATCCTAAGGATGTTGATCTGAGGAATGTCAACCCTCTAAATGTTGACGGGGCGGTCGGGTAGCCTAGTGGTTAAAGCGTTCGCTCGTCACGCCGAAGACCCGGGTTCAATTCCCGACATGGGTACAATGTGTGAAGCCCATTTCTGGTGTCCCCCGCCGTGATATTGCTGGAATATTGCTAAAAGCGGCGTAAAACCCCACTCACTCACTCACTCACTAAATGTTGACCTGAGGAATGTCGACCCTTGGACTGTTTGGAATCCTTGGAGGGTCGATCGTGGTTCGATGTAGACTTCTCTGTACAATGTTGACCCTTCGAAGTCGACTCTGAATGTCGACCCTTATTTCAGCGAATGTCCTTGGGTCAAAACTGCTCTCTACTCTTTCTCTGTTCGGTAGGCAATGTCGATGACTGGTTTCTGCTAGAGTCGATAGAGGAGATGGTGAAAATGCAGTAACACTCTAATAATGACATTTTAAATATTACCTCTGTAGCAGCCATGTTAAAGTCAGATCGGAATTCTGTGAGCACATTTTAGAAACACCATATCTGGGATCATACATACACATTTTAAGTGCCGTGGGCCTTGTTTCAGAGGACATGTCGAAAATGCAATAACTCTAGAAATATATTTGAAGTGCCACTGCACAGAAGCTCACCTGGAGATGTTGTCAACAGTTTAAAATGTCAACAAACACTCAAGAAGTTGTGTCAGCATCGATGTTTAAACTGTACTGCATGGCTACTGAGGCATAAAAACTAACACTAAAATTTGATAACTTGAACAACATATGACATCATCATAAGGAGACACATACAGTCCTTATGCTGGCATTTTCATGAGAGAGGTTTACAGAACTAAATATGCCTTTGAGATAATTTCATAAATATTGTGAAAAATGGAACATGTTTTGAGCCCTACTACTAACTACACATACAGCAAATTGTATTATTTTTTTAAGCAAAATGGCTGAGTTTCAGCTTACAGGATGGTCAATTGCACAGGTTAAATCAAGGTAAAAAAATATAATAACCACATAACTGTGGACACCCACTACTATCTCCACATGTCCCCCAATTTTTTTTTTTTTTAAATGTCTGCGTATAAATATAAAAAGGTTTTTCAAAATGACTGTCATCTTAGCCATAATGAAAATTAGACTTGAATCTCTTGACAGATTCAGATGTCCTCATTTGTGAGAATGACGATGTGAAGTTTTAGCTTTATTGTTCCAGCAGTTGCTGAGGAAAGATGCGTACACCAGACAAACAGGCCACAACATAACCTCACTGGACTTGCAGTCAGGTGAGCTTACAATGGGGGTACATAGAGCCCAAAGGTCATAGTTTGATCAAAATTCAAAATATGCAAAAATAATATTATATGTTCTTCCATACCCTACATGCTTGCTGCTTATCAAATCTCATAATAATGAATGCAGAAATGGCTGAATAATGGGCAGGCACGTCGCAAGTAGGACTGGAATTCTGTGAGCAAGTATTAATTAGAGGCACTGTAGGTGGGACCATTAATACACATGCAGTTTCAGTTCCATAGGCCTCATAGTCTTAGAGGACATGTAAAACATTTCACAGTCAACAATGGACAGACAGATGGACAACAGATATAAGATCACTGGATTTTCAGTCAGGTGAGCTAATAATGAGAAAAAAATCAATCAGACTTCACGACTGAATCTAAACTAAACCTGTAGCCAGTCATCAATAAAATGGATCAAAAATATTTTGTATAGGTGGTAAACAGACTAGAAATGTACACATCATTATTCAGCTCAGTGATTGTACTTTCTGGCATTGGCCCTGCTTCCATGTCCTGTCTCGCTTAGCTTGTTCTACCAATGTCCCTCTAGGTCTTGTAGGCAAGACTTAATCTAGTAATTTGTCAAATACCTTACACATGACTGTCTACAAGATATCATCAATCTCAGTAATTAGAACAGCGCTGTGCAGCTTCCTGGATGAACCACTTCAACATCGCGGAGGTGCTCAGTACTAAAGAGGTCTCTCTTCCAACTCATTGTCACCCTGTTGTTTAGAAAGTGGAATCTGTCTAAACCACGCTTTTTGTGGGAACAAAAGATAAGTTCTGATTGACAGTTTTCCGGGTTAGTGAGATTTTAGCAGGAGTTGCATTCCTTACTTTCATGGGATGAACATGTAAAATCAAAGACAATATTTAATGAAAATTATACAAGAGTCAGTTTCCTATATCTACAAAGCTTACAAATCTTTGTTAAAACTAGTATTGTTTGTTTGTAGTTTAACGCCACACTGAAATAAATCCAGCAGTCTGGACCAGACAATCCAGTGATTGATTGCATCAACCAAGTGAGCCAGCTTGACCACCCGATCCTTTTGGTCGCATCTTATGACAAGCAGAGTCGCCTCTCACGGCAAGCATGGGTTACTGAAGACCTCTTCTAACCCAGATCTTCATATGTTTGTTAAAACTAGTAATTCATTCTTTGAAACTCATCTTTTATCAAATATATATATAAGGATTGTTTGACATGAATGTGAAATAACAAACTTCCATGAAATCAATGACAGGAATGCCAAATGAGGCATAAACAAATGAGACAGGTCAGGTCAACAGGCAGATTAGAACAGCTTACTGTGTGTAAGTGAGATGTGGGAAATGTTAATCCAGATTAAAGAACGTCAATTACATGATAAATTGGTTCTCTGTCTCACAATTTCAGTCTGGAATCCTGAGTAAAGGATGATACTGTTACTTGATGATGAATTACCATAGTAAATTTTTCCACCATACATATCGACTGGTAGTGACAGATTTGGAGTTGTAAGATCCCACTGTTTTCTAATCCTAACCCCCTCGAAAATTGTTAAAGTCACATTGTTATTTCATATCAGTGGTAATCACTCATACTATGTAGTGAGTATATTTATTCTGGGTGTGACAGGGGAAATATTTTCAAAATTACTGTTAATAATTTATGACGAAAGGTTATCAGCAGACTACCCCTGTCTGTGACATCACATCCGACATATTCCCGAGGCAAGAGAGTTAACTGACTACAAAAGTCCAGTTTCCACCCTTGCCGAACAAGGCTGGAGTTCCCGTGCTTGATCGTATCGCCATCAGTGGCTATTATGAGATGTCCTCTCTATGCCTCTCCTATGGGCCAATCAGATTCCACCTCTCATATCACTTGCATTTGCTTCAAACAAAATGGCAGCGCCCAGTCAAGACGATCTGATCGATAATCAAGATCTATATTGTGAAAAACAGGTCTTACATCGTGAAGTGCATCAAATCACGTGAGCACCTTGATTAAAAACACGAAGAGATTAGGAAAATATCTGTTGACAATGAGTTAGTGGTGCACATGCAATGCAAATCCTGCAATCGACCGAAATCTGATGACAGTTTACGAACTGGATTTCGATTTTGTTGCACGATTTTGATTGGACTATGCATAGACTCGTTAGTCCAGCCAAAATGTTACTCCATAATACCAGCCTCGATTGGCAAGAGTGGAAACTGGACATTTGTAGTCATTTAACCCTCTTGCCTTGGGAAGATGCACATCCAGTAACCTTTGCACTTGCTGAAAAATTGCAGTCAGATTTCGTGATCATTATTTTCGGTTTTCTCTCATCATATTAAACTGAAAAAGACAAATGAAACATTTGTCGAATTAGTAGATCGACAACTTTAGCCAAGGTGTATATATGAAGGCAATATATAAAATATTCAACCAAAACGTTTGAAAATAGGATTGGTGAATATTTATAATTGATAATTGTATCCTGCAGTTCTTATAAAATGAGACGTTGTAATATTCCTAATATTCTCATTTCAGCAAATGACATAAGGACCTTGAAAATTACGGAGTTTTTTTGTCAAACGTTTGCTTAATGAATTTACTGAAATGGTTCAAAATTTGCCATCGCGGTGTTGTTTGCTGATAAAAAAGACAAATTTTATCTCAGTTAAATGTAACATATCAGAGATATGATTATTGAAATTATTTAGCAAAAATTTAATGATTTAAACAGGTTTCTAACATGAAACGCATTCCATATTCAATCAAGCAATGCAGGTAACTTCAAGAAAATTTACAAATTTTATGTTCGCTTTGGTCTTAACCTCTGTATTTTTTAAATGTCAATATGAGCTTTGGATAATAATGTGTATTTTCTTTCAGTAATAAATGTGCGAAATATTGGTACATTCGTCCCATATAAATGAAGCTTTGACTGTTGAAAACACCCACCCTCTCTTTACAGCGCCTTATGCTTAAATTAATCCAGCAGAAAGGGGTAAGAAGCGTGAAAACAATTCAGACGCTAAAGGTTAAATTCCTGAAACTTACCAGTTTCTGTTTCTTCTACTTCTGATTGGTCAATTGCTTTCTTATTAACAGGGAACTCTTCCATTGGTGGAGCTATCATGGCTTGTGATTGGCTGATAGGTACTTCTGGAACCTCCTGAACAGGAGAGCTCATGACATCAGAGTCGCCTCCCTTCTCAAGAACTTCTGTAAACATGCAAGTAGGCATGGGAATATCGCTTTAGGCAGCATATCCTTCATTTGATTAACAAGTAACTATAGGCTTCTTTGTTTAAAAATATCAAAGATATTCTGTGGTAACAAGGAAAGTATTAATTGTATAGCCTAAGTGAATACCCACAACAAAGGAAGAATATTAAGAGCCCCACAGCCAAAAAGGCATTAATGAAGTAAAAACTGTATCAAATAATTTAGATGTTATTTCCTGATCACAGTGTATAATCTGTATACAAACTTCATTATTATTAATAAGCAATTATTATTTATTTTCATTTCAGAATGAAACAAGTCATCTAAGCATGTGTAATATCAGTAATCCATGTCATTGATTATGAGCTATTTCATATATACAACCTCTTGAATGTACAAGGCCCAAGACAGTCACAATGAGAATGGGAAGAGTAGGAACCATTTGTGCAGAGTGTTCATGTTCAAAAATGTTTACAAGCTTGGCACTGTGATATACTGTAATATTATACATGTTTAATCAAAGAAAAGTGACAAAACCATTTCCACTATCACATGAAATCTCCACCAAAAGCAGGGTCAGCTAGAATTTTGACAATATCATAAAAAAATGTTTAGTAGCTTGGCACTGTGAAATACTTTAATTTCAAATGTTTAATTAAATAAAAGCGACAAAACCATTTCCACAATCACACAAAATCTCCACCAAAAGCAGGAATTTTGATTACATCATAAGCATGCATTTATGAATCACTATCAAATAGGGATAATACCACATATCAGTCCCTACCAGTGGCACCTGAATAGCCTATAGGACAGTTTCATAATATCGGTTAACCTGTTCTCTTAATTTCTAACCCTAATTTGAAATGTTTGTCCTGATTGTATTTTGACATAATATAATAACGTAGCACATCATCCAAATAAGGTTACAGCTAATACAGTTGCTGTACTGAGAATCAATAAAATTCAATGCCAAAATAATAACTGGCATTATTACATTGACACTACATAATTTTTACTAGTCTGGTAGTAACAGTTTTGTTTCAAATTTCAAAATAGCTCCTACATGATATCAATATGGATCTAAGGAGCATTCAGGCTGAAAGATGACTTTCACATGCTGTGTTACTGCATTAGAAGCAAGTGAAAACATGACCAATATGACACAAAAAATAACAAACTACACAGCTAATGGTCTCTGAGGGCTTATTTAACTTTAACAGAACTGTCTGCTAACCCGTGACAGTTTTACTAGCAAATTTGTACATAGTTTAATGATACGCTTGAGACATCATCTCCTACGTGAGGTGGTGGGAAGACAAGAATTGTCGGGGAGCATCTTGGTATGTCGCCAGCGCTGCTGGTCTGGCAGCTGTAATGAAGGCACTTCTTGACAAGCCAGAGTGGCTGAATTGACTCAGACGCTACCCTACCTACTGCACCTATTCCTGGAGCTCTGAACGGGAACTTCCTTGCTGCAGACCATAAACCAACACAAATGGAACAAATGGATGTACAGTAACACATATTTCGTCATAAAGGCCAATTTGCCAATTCCTCCTAATTTCTGTGTCAATTAAGTGGAGCCATTGTCTTTCCCAATGTGGAAGTGTGTGGGTTTTAAACCCTAATTCTGGACTCTTCGAGAACATATTTTGTGAAATCTCCAATTTGAGAAAATGCTGCACCTTATTATACTAGTGAAGGTGTGACTGACATAAGGACTGCAAAAGCTACATAACCATAATACTATTCAAACTGCATTAAATTCTTTGCAAGTGCACCCTGGCTTGGCAGAGCCCTTGGGTTTGAATGGTTTAGAATAATCAGTCACAGGTCTGTAATCCAAAAAGGAGGGTTACGTTTTATCAGGGCAGGTTTTGCCTGTTTCAAAGAGCTACTTGAAAAGGTCAGAGCATGTGAGAACTGCAATTAATTCCAATGTGCAAAGGGCAATGTAGACGTTTTGGCTGCACATATAGTATCTTCTTATAGGACCATGACAAACTAATCACATTTAATTTAGATTTACTTCAAAAGTAACATAAGATTTGAGTCTTAAAGTATATTACCATCTAAATGTGAAGAAAAATGTTGAATGTTTAAATTTAAAAATAATAATGGTGGTACCTATCAAAGAAAGCACAAAGACAGGCATCTTAGTGAAGATTACACAAGGAATTAATACAGGCCATCATGTCAGCTGCATGTGTTTCTGTGCAGTAATCTACCTCAGGGTCTAATTGTCCTCCAAATCAGGGTACACAAAATGACATTTTAGTGATAATGATGTCCACGGTCAGTAGCAAAATTAGATCAACATTAACAACAAGAAATCCTTGACCACCATACTAACCAAGACAAGGACACAAGGAAAAGAAGATACAATTAGAAATCTTGTATTCATCTTTTAATGTGTCACCACAAAAACAAGGGAGATGACTCTGTAATCACAGGGTTATTAGGTAGTCTAGTGGTTAAAGCACTAGTTCTTCATCCCCCTAACATGGGTTCATGTCCCCTTGTTGGTGTAACGCAGTGATGTGACGGGTATGAGTCTACAAGCAGCATGAAATCAACTCACTCACAAACTGGAATCAACAAGTAGATAACTATGGATACATACCAACTTACAAGAAATGAAATTTGAAATACAGTTATAGTGAGATGACAGAGTCGACTGGTGTTATCAGCTGCTGTGTGACAATGATCTTGGTGTAAGCAGACTGTGTTGTGCAATCACATGGAATATGTCTCACCTGTGTCTGTCGGATCTGTGTCGAGGGTGTCCACCATAGCCTCCACATACTTGGTGAGCCTCTGTAGCTGGGGATCCTCCAGGTTCTTAGCCTTCAAGTTCCCTGAGAACGAGGAAGAGGAGAAGCAAATAGAAGGATGCTAGTTGTAAACTCATTCTAGGCAGGAAGACAATTCTCATCAGAATATATTTTTAAACTGACATAAAGGATCGAACACTTGATACTTTGGGGTGGTGGTGTTTTTTGGTGTTTGGAATTTGGGGCAAAAGAACAAAAAAAAAATCATCTGTCCTCAGATTGCATACCCCTCAAAATAAAACTGGCTGGACATGCTTGATGGCCTGAGGAGTGAGTGAGTGAGTATGGTTTTACGCTGCTTTTAACAATATTCCAGCAATATCAGAGTGGAGGACACCAGAAATGGGCTTCACACATTGTACCCTTGTCGGGAATCGAAACCCGGGTCCTCGGTGTGACGAGCGAACGCTTTAACCATTAGGCTACCCGACCGCCCCTTCCTTGAGGAAAAAGAGTCCAGCTTTCACATGTTCAGAGAAAATACTTGCCTGCTTGGAAGCAGTGACTGAAACATATCTTGAATCTAACAAAAACACCAGTGGTAAAGGTTAATACCCAGGATTCCTCAGACCGGTGCAACATTTGTCCACCTGTTTGATCCAGGATATTGCTTAAATAGAGCTAAACAAAATCACACTCACTCACTGATACACACTAAACCTTCTTACCACTTTTCACCAAATCACAGTTTAGAATTGATACAATCTACACTTACACATATACACACACTAAAATGGCAAGACATCAAATGACCAAGTTCTTTACAACTTGGAAGTCATTTTTATTTCATTTTGATTTTTCGCGAAAAACTTCAATATCTAAGAACTTAAAAGTGATTCAGAAAAAAACTATTTTCACCATGATGCACAATAATGCTCAAGCTTCTTTCTACAAAATATGAAAACTTTCATTATTATCTCAGCCCGAGGCTGATTGCTGGACATCAGAGAAGTTGTAAGTTTCCTGAGTGCTCCTGTGGTTTATTCTCTGACAATTATAGCTCAGTTTTATTACTGGGATGACTGTCAGTTTTGTAAGTCTCATCAAGATGTAATCTTTCATTTTCTGCACACAAAAGAATTGTTCATTTATTTGAAAAAAAACAGCCTTTATCTATGATGTCGCATTTATTAAACTTTTCTGCTAGAAAATATTTTGAAGCTGTTGTTGTTCAGTATTAGAAGATCTCATGCAGAAAGAAACGTAGCTAACAATCTTCCATGACTGAAGCACAAAGAAGTGATAATCGGTGATATTATGTCTAGTAGACATTGCAGCAAAAAGTTTACAGGGGAAATAATTTGAATCAATTGAAATAAGTCTGAAACAGTAGAAAGAAAGAAAAACTTTCAGAGAGAATCTTTACTTCTAAATATGAAAAGTATTTTCAACATGAGAATACAAGCAGATATGACAATATTGTACACTTTGTTTTTACATCCAAATAATTGATAACACTGCTTGTAAGAAATAATCAGTATTTGGGCTACTGAATATAGTATTGTAATTTTTAAGAAATTATTAAAATATTATTTGACACAGATAACCTATATTATCAAAACAACTTGATTACCTTGTGATAAACTTCCCCCACATTTACCTCAAAATAATTGATAACACTGCTTATAAGAAACAATCAGTATTTGGGCTATTGAATATTGTATTGTGATTTTTAAGAAATTATTAGAATATTATTTGACAGAGATAACAATAGCATCAAAACAACTTGATTGCCTTGTGATAAACTTCCTTGTGATAAAATTCTTCAGAAATAATCCATTATAATCTATTGTTGTTAGCAAACTGATGGATATTTGAACTACACCCCCCTGCTTTCGACTGAGCTCCTAAATAAAATGTGGATTAAATATTTTTAAACTTGAAGGTAGGAAACCTATTAAATTGTTGTGATGCAACCATGTTGTTCAAGCCCGTTTATTCAACACCCCACTGTGCTTGAATAATTGCATGATGGGATATAATTCATTCACCATTTTTTCTCGAAATATTGACAGAGACCCAATGTGGTGACTTTGCTCATGCAGAAAATAATTCTGCCGCTGATATGTTGTGGGGCATAGGCTTCCTGTGGGCTTTCCAGTTCACCAAGAGAAAATAATACTCCCTTGAAAAAATCGGCGGATGAATTTGACAGAAACTCAACGGTTTGACAGCATTCCAATACACTAATTTATCATACAAGCCCAATAGATTCTCAACATTACTCCACAATGGTGACCAATGTCGATAGTTGCGTCCTCCAATGTGATTGGTCGATACACATTTCAGTGACAGTCACACATTTCGGACATCGCCAGACTCCTGCTCCCAGTCTCCAGGGATGAGAATAAAAATGATTTAATCTTTCAAAGATTGATTTAAAGAAAGGAGAATTTGAAAATTGCCACTACTTGTCATATCCTGCAAATGTTTATTGAAAGACCAAGGCGTGTGGTAATTGGCTGGATGATGGACATGAAATTCTCCTCAAAGGATAAGATTACACTGATATTGTTGCCGGGCACAACCCAGTAAACAGCCGGGATTTAAATCACTCACTTCCCAGTTTGTTTCATTTACTGCACATGCTACAACCACAAAACACTTAATTCAAAATCACATACTCTTTATCTGTTGAATATTCATGAGCTTTATGCAAAAGACCATTTCTTCTATCAAATTCCATGCAATATTCTTGAAGTTTTAATACAATATTTGAAAAGAAAAAATACAGATAAAACACAATAAGTTTTCGTCAGTTTGGAACTAGATAACCAAATAATTTCAATACCATATTTACATATATTAACAAAATTAATATTAATATAAAAGTATATAATTCAAATAAAATGCATTGAATAAATCATATTAAACTAAACAACTCAAATCTGTAAAATCTAAAGCACTAAACATATTCTAGCAAAGTAAGTAAAGATAATATGTTTTACAAAGGGCAAAAGCTTAATGGTGTAGAACTACACAGTTATATCCAAGCAGGTGTTGTGAAAGGCCACTGTTGTGATGGCAGCAGGTGAGATATGTCCTCACTTGCACACAACATGGAATGAGAGCAGGCCTGGGCCAAGAGGAGGCCCTTTTGCACCCAGATTGTCAGGATGTCAGTTGCAGAGTTATCTCTCCTTACCTAACACATGCCTCCATGGATAAATGAAATCTGCCACTTGGGAAAACAAAAAGAAGGGAAGGGTTGGGGATGTTTCTTAATGAGAAACCTTATTTTGTTCATGGCTTTGTGGGTGTGATATGAAGGTACTGTACCACCAGCCTACCCTACCATTTGTACTCCTCATGACTCCTCCTCACCTTCAAGCAGACCTTCCAGCGTCTTCTCATCCGGTGGTGAAATTGAAAGGATATCTGCACCCTGAACACTTTCCGAATCTTCCCTGACAGGTTCAGCTGGAGCATCTGTAAAACATGGAAATCATCACAGAATTAATATATCATAGCTATGTTGTTTGCTGATAAATATATCTTAGCTATGTTGTTTGCTGAAAAATATATCTTAGCTATGTTGTTTGCTGATAAATATATCTTAGCTATGCCTGTTGAATACTCGTTTATTTCATTGTCTGGTCTGAAGGTAAATTAGAAATCTTGTCAGTGTCAGAGTATAAATTGTGATTTAAGAGTAAATGTCTTATTTCCTGTCTATATAATCATGTGCATAAAATCAATACTAATTAAGGTGCTAAAAATAATAGTGTACATTGTTACAAAGTTTCTAACTGCTGATTTTGTATACAGGCTAACATATCAAGAATAAATATCATTTTCATTTTCTAAAATATTTTTGTGAACAAACATTTACAAATAATGCCCACAGAAAGAAATTCCTACAAAATTTCATTTCTATTATATCTAATCCCATGTTCTCGTGCTGTATAATAGACACTCTATCAACCCTGTTTTATATTCAAATCAAAATTTTCAATGATATATTTGTTTCATGTCATTTTTTGTATCTATGTGGGGTTTTTTAGGCATGCTGGCTCCTAGACAGCCCTACTGGCTATTGCTTCAAAGTCTGACAAAGCCCTTCCACGATGGGGTAATCTTTTATTTCTATGGCAACCAAAGTTTAAGAAGACAGTCGCAGTGGCAAGAAAAAAATCGAAGAAAAAACTCAATAACAAATTTTCTGATGCAGTTACACAGAAAATTTCACAAGAAACCAATGACCAATTTGTTTGAAATTAAAATGTAACCACTTCCAATTTGACATTAACCTAATAAACCCTTGGTATGGCAATGAATTGGAAAACTAGCATGATTACTTGCTGGTTGAAACAAGTTCTTTCTGTGACACGAGAAATGCAGAAAAGAGGGATGCACAAGTTTCCAAAACTCAAAAGGAGAAAAAAAGTTATAAAATTTCATTCGCCTCAGACAAATTGGTATCTTCTAGACTCAGCTTCCGAAGCACCTTGAGGGTTGGTATGCTAAGAAGAGATGCTAATATCTTCCACACGACTAGTAATAGTGGCACTCCAATCGTGAACTGAAACATACCTGCACTGGAGTCAAGCCCTAGGCTGTCGTCTTTTCCTGAATCAGAATTTTCAAGGAGCTTGGTAGCTTCGTTAGCAGGAGCTGTAATTTGTAATATGCAGAAAAGGGAAAATCAGAGCACAATTTGTGAAATGGACTCAGAAACGAAACCTTGAAAATCTCGCCGCAATTTGCACCAATTAAAGGTCATCGCTAACATGGCCGACCAAGAGTAACTTCCTCTCGTTAAAATGGCAACCCTAATTTGGGATCAATTCGAAAAGAGAAAATTGGGGAATTTTTTAACGAAATGATACCCCCTAATTTGGTATCATCAGCGACTCACATTTAAGAAAAGACCATTAATTCAAAAAGTTTTCCCAACTTCAACATGAAAAATATTTCAATTTCAAAATTCAAACAGATCGAGGTGCAAAAAGCTGTGAATTCGTCTTTTATTATTAATCCACTTAAATTTGCAAAGATCAAACAGATAAGGATATCATGAGAAGAAAATTTGCAATTTGAGAAATTGATGCTTTAAAGAAATCTTCGTGAATAATATGTTTTGCATTTTAATTCAATAATTGGTTCTTTTATTAAAAGTCATGTCAAAATTGTTCAAAGAAGGCAATCAAATTCATGTGAAATATTATATTCTTAACACTTCTAGTCAGAAATGTGATATATAATTCATATTCCATGATATGGTTCAAAAATATAAATTAAACACTGGCTTGTCAAAAAAAAGAAAAACGAGCATTTCATGCATTTGTAATATTCTTGTGTAATCAAACTGTAATTATCCCCATCTATACTGCCAGTATTCTCAACATTTGTGTCCTCTATTACATTTGTAAAATTAGCTTAAAATGAGAAAAACAGTTGACCAGGTGTTTCTTTTCATAACCTTCCATGACCTTCACTATTGAGAAATGTAACGTGATCAAAATCTTTTTGCCTTTATTACCATGCGTAATATCTCAAAACAAATTGTTGCATTCATATTACAATGACATGATTTTACTATCTTATCAAATGTTATTTGTTTTTCGAAATTCTTATACTTCATGAAAAAATAATAAATCATTCAAAATTCAGTTATCTCTTTGAGTAAAAAACTTGTATAAGTGAAAATCTTGTATAAACCTCCTTGACAGATAATATTTCCAGCACTCATTTCTTTACACAAATCTAAAGTCTTGCTTAAATTTTCATATCACAAAAGTTTCCATATTTCTAAAAAAAACACACACCATTATTGTCCATGCCTTCAGCATCCATCTGAGGTCCTAGGGATTCTGGTTCCATGGGGGGATAACTCATTTGTTCTGTTCCCAAGACATCAGGGGCATCACTGATGATAGTTTCTGGACTGGCAGTTTCCTCAATGTAGTCAGGAGTTCCGTAATCCCCAAGTCCAAGATCCTGCTCCGACAGTTCCTTCTCCTGTCCGGTTCCTGCCATACGTTCCAGAGCCAACAGATACTGAGCCATTTTGTAAGAATCCTCTTCTGACTGTGATTCCTGCTGAGGAACATCCTGAAGGTAAGCCATTTCACCTCCTGAAGTATCAGACATCCCAAGAGGGGTGAGGTAGTTTCGAGGATTGGTTTCTTCTTCCATGTACGGGTCACGTTTATACTGCCCTTTGGAAGCGTCGAAATACTTGTGAATGTTAACAAACTCATCCCTCTTATCAGAACTTGGAATGAGAGAATCCATATCTGCCTGACTTAGTCCCTCAGCAGATGCTTGGAGACGGTGGCCATCTTGAAAGTCCATAAGTTTTTGTAATACTGTTGCAATTTCTTCTTTAACATTTTCAGAGTATGAGTTAGGTTGCGATAAAGCTTCTTCGCACCAAAGACTATCAAATGTTTCACCCTGGGCAAAAGCTAGCAGTAGATTTTGTAAAGAACACTGTGTATAAGCATCTTTCCAGGTAAACCCTTTCCTTATGAGAAGCCATATTTGATCTTCTAACTGCTCTAGCTGATGTGTTGTCAGACGGAACTCAAACTCTCCCTCGGAGATCTCACGGTATTGTAGAGACTCACAGCTGCCAAAAAGCTGATCTGGAAACAAAAGTGAAATATTAATATTATAAAGAACAGCCATTATAAATGACTCAAGTCTGTGTGTTTAATATATATGTATACAATTGGAGACAATGTAATATCATAATTCACTTGAAAAAAAGACATCTTTGTAAAAGTGAAAGTTAATTGTCTTGTAGTGTATAGTTCCTTGCACGCAATATGTGATCATGTAACAATTTTCTCTTGCTTGGTTGTATAATTCATGTTTTACAAATATTAATTCATTTAAAGCCGATATCTTAGATAATATAGTGCGCTGTCAAGGCCACATGACACAGTGTTTAGCAATATTATACAAAAATATGCTGGACTGATTTATGAGATTATTATGGAAATTAATGCACTGGAAGATCATGTAGCATACAAGGTATATTCTAAAATACAACAACAAAGATATACGTATCACATTGTTGTTGCTGTTGCTGTTGTTGTTGTTGTTGTTGTTGTTGTTCAAAATCAGAAACATTGAAATTTGACATTTTACATCATAATGATGTCAAAATTAAAAAGACAAATCTTAAAAACATCTAATATGATAACAGTTTTAAAAGATAGACACAAGTGTACTCGCATCTTGTTTTCCAAATTCAGAGGAAAATATTCTCTCAAATTGTTCAAAGATCCAAACAATTTACATCATTCTTTCTGCATATATTTATACCTAATACTAGCACTGAACTCCATTTCTAGAGAAAAAGCAAGCCCTGTCTCCTACAGGAGTGCAAGGAGGAGATTTGGGCACTCTCAAAAAGACAAGAAGCTTAGCAAAATGTCATGGACGGAAATCTCCAGTTTTAAGGAGCAGAGAACTGGGAAATGTTGAGTCCGAAAGGGATCGGAAACAATTTTCCTACTCGTTCACCTGCTTCCGTCGCGGAGATGGTTTCCTGTCCGAATAATGACATGGTAGTTATAGTTGTCTTAAAAAACAGCCCTAATATGGAGGACAGTGCAGCGGGGATGCTGATTAAGAATGGCTTGCACAGTACAGCAAATGACAACGAAAGAGTAGACTCTACTCCAAATAGCTTAATTATGTTCAAGTTACATTATCTCATAATAGGAATATCAACAAAAATAAGAGTGCTGTCATTTCCTATTAGGTACAGTATCATGGTGGCCATCTTGGTTGTAATCAAGTCAGTATTGTCTATTTCAGTAGATGGAAAGCCGAAAAGGAAGAAGGCATGTACAAAATGGTAACCTTGTTCATCGCAATTAGTGCTTGCAAAATTGCATTACTTTGTTGATCGTGATATTTCAATGAGGATAATTAAAATTAAACTTAATTTACCGGGTAGTAATGTTAAAGACGTACGTTCAAAGAAATCATTCTAATGGAAGAAGGTAATGTATTACACTTGAATCAAGAATTACTTTGATCAAGAATTCTCCTTTAAGATCACCAAAAGATGACTAACACCCCAAGGTCATAAGATCCATTTTTAAATTGTTGTATGAAATGTGAGACTATCCACCTTTGGACAAATAACAGATGCAGTTAAACAAAATACAATATGTTATTAGCAAAGGGACGAAAAAGATTCAACTCTTAGAAATATTCAATAAGATCCAATTAAAATTGCAACGTGATGCAAAAACATATCGACAAACACGCAAACATAACTTGCATATTTATTTAATGGTGACAACATTGTTCCAGAGATGTGATTATCTCCTAAAAATGCCAGAGGTCTCGTCCAATACCAAAATATGAAAACACATTGTGTGTGTAAATGTAATGCCATCTGATCTTGTAAAAATAACTATAAATAATTGGTGGGGAGCGTATTATGTCAGGCTGTTAGAAGACGGATAATTAGTAGAAACAAAATAAGCTTAGACGTGTTACTATCATGCTTTCATCACGCGCTAAGATGACCAGAATGCCAGCGGGGGTATGCCAGTAACGCGCGCAGAGAAGATAATTTACAGATTCGATGCTGAGAGTTTTCGGCCTCAATTAGTGCTTCGAATCTTTCCTTTTCTTGGCAAAAATGTCTCTGCTGAGGGGCCATTACTGGGGAGGCCATAGAGCAGCAACGCTAGAGCTCCTAGCACTGTAACGAGAGCGGGATCTGCCTACATTTGTCAAAGCCACGACTTGCGGCCATAACGGTATTAAGGTTCATTAAGTCGAGGTTTCGCCCGTCTTCGTATGGGGTGACAGCAGGCCCGATCGTCGCCATGGAAGTCTTTGGTGGTAGCGGAAATTATAGTTCTCTTTCCTACTCCCTGCTTGACAAGGGTTCAGCCCTACTAATTAGTCCACTATGTCCCCTTAATGCGTATAGTCACACAGTTTCTTACCCGCTCACACCACAAACTGGTGTTCCAGGCAGGAAATGAAAGAACAGAATCAATTTTTTTCATGCTTGATATGCTGAAACACCTCTCAAATATCTTCAAACACAGATTGTAGCTTGTGGGTTGATAATGTATTAGGTTTGACATTTTAACACTAAACCAACAAATAAGAATTTCATGTTACAAAAACCTCTCTTTTTAACATGTAAATATTGAAGATATGCTTTGAATCAATGTACCATGGTACTGTAAGTATCTACTTTTGAGTAATTATTTAACATGTAAGGATTAATCTAAAACCCTTCAAATTTCAAAAGTTTTTGGAAGACTATGAGAATCAAATATGCATGAAAACATCCCAAATCTTTTTCTTTAACAAAACATTGCATGCCACAAACATACAGTGCATTACTCCATAAGTTAACACAAATAGAATTTTTTAAAATACAAACACCTTTTCTTTCAATTTGATTCCCAAGATATAATTTATTACAAGCAGGGACCAATAATGTCTTTGTATAGAAACAGCCATGAAAAGATGTGGTGGTGCCTTTAAGAGCAGAGTACCAAATCCCCATGTTTAGATTTAGCCTAGACATTTCCAGATTCTCATCCATCTCCATGGCAACAAGATTCAGCGTAAAGGTCACACATTTGAAGACCTGTCACAGGGATGAGATTCCCTACCGTAGTCACAGAAATAATTAGCTGTCCTCGAGTATCGTTCTTATGGCATTGTCACATCCAATGTGAGACAGTACGTAGTGTATCTCTCCCTGTAGAACCAAGATAAATTAGCACTTCAAGTCATATTTCTTGTCGCTGTACAAAAGGATTTGCAATAACCATTGTTCAGTGGGTTTTTGTAGTTTCAATAGTTTCAACATAAATAAATCACAGTAACTGTTCTCAATTCCGATTGTTTCTGTACATGCTTGGCAAGGTGTTTAATTTCTTGAAGTTTAGTATTTGAAAAATGATTTACAATTGGCCACGTAGATTTTAGTAAAATGAATTAAGTGAGTTTCTGATTGCAAAACAATGACATTGTTCAAAATAATAACAATACATAAATAAATACTGGCTTTTAAAATAATTACTGAATGAAATGTCTTCTGTAAATTCGTCTTTTTTTATAACATATTTACTATTAGCGAAATTAGTGCATTTGATGCAATATCATGACTAAAAATAACTATCATCATTAATTAGATATTTCAATTCACAGTCACACAAACAATTACCTCTCACTTCATTGGGTCTGATTTGCAAATAAAGAATGGTTCAATATCTGCAAAATATTACCCTCTGTCAACACCAAATTCTGTCTCCTTGTGGCTTCCTGTCAAGACCAGGAGTTTCATACTTGTGCTGCAGTTCAATTCAAGTCCTGAGATGTAATGTCCCATACATTCTGTTGTTTAATAATTCAAGTCCTGAGATGTAATGTCCCATACATTCTGTTGTTTAATAATTCAAGTCCTGAGATGTAATGTCCCATACATTCTGTTGTTTATTAATTCAAGTCCTGAGATGTAATGTCCCATACATTCTGTTGTTTAATAATTCAAGTCCTGAGATGTAATGTCCCATACATTCTGTTGTTTAATAATTCAAGTCCTGAGATGTAATGTCCCATACATTCTGTTGTTTAATAATTCAAGTCCTGAGATGTAATGTCCCATACATTCTGTTGTTTATTAATTCAAGTCCTGAGATGTAATGTCCCATACATTCTGTTGTTTATTAATTCAAGTCCTGAGATGTAATGTCCCATACATTCTGTTGTTTAATAATTCAAGTCCTGAGATGTAATGTCCCATACATTCTGTTGTTTAATAATTCAAGTCCTGAGATGTAATGTCCCATACATTCTGTTGTTTAATAATTCAAGTCCTGAGATGTAATGTCCCATACATTCTGTTGTTTAATAATTCAAGTCCTGAGATGTAATGTCCCATACATTCTGTTGTTTTATAATTCGTGCCCTGAACACATTTAGGCTGTCATGTTACATATATTACGAAATATGTTCTAATTTAGGCTGTGAATACATTTCAGTTGTCATGTTTTATTTAATAAGTTGTTACGCGAGTAACGCGATGTTTGAATTCATGCCCTTAACAAATTCAAGTTGTCATTTCACATTTGATAAGTTGCCAAGTAAGTAGTGCCATATATATTTGGGTGTGTTCCAAGTCATAACCGAACAGATGACTCATCAATTTGCCTAAATATCATGTTGCAATAATCCTGTCACTGTCTTAACCTGAGTACATGATACTAAAATATTTTTTCCTAAAACAATACATCTTCATATTGTCATTCTGCTTCCATAGTCCTTCAACATGGAATAGAAGTTGAAAATGTAAATCCAATCACAGCTGATTTGGGAAAGAAAGGAAATACATTGAAATACTAGTTCCTTGATTGCCATGTAATAAGGGGCTTCACATGTAGGCAGTGAATATATATTATGATGGGCTGAGAGCAAGTCCAGCTGAGGTTTCCTTCACTAGTTACAATGGGTGTTTTCTGACACTCTGCTTCCTCTACAGTGTATCTGCAGGGCATGGAAACATGAGCTGTTTGACTGTGAGCTGCAAAACAATACCCGCAACCAACACCTCGTCCCTCGGGCCCCCATGGTGACAAAGATCATATCAGAA